AGCCCAGGAAGCCCTGCGCAGGCGCATGCGTTTCCCAGGCAACCACGCCGCGGCCAGAGGCTGCGGACCCGGGCTGGGGATACGATTGGAGAATGAGGGTGGCCGGGCGGGAGCAGAGACCAGGCCTCACTCAGAGCCCGGAGCCCGCACTACTCGAGTCCTGTTTCCCCCTTTGCCCCACAAAAAGAGCGGAAAGCCCAGGAACTGGGCCGTGTCTGGCTGAACCTGATAATGCTCCGGCTTCACGCGCACTGACGCCGACTCTTGCGTGCCCGGTGCCGTAGCGGGGTTAGGACTGCGGCCCCGGCCTGGCGTTGAGGAGCCTGGCCCAGCCCGCTTCTGCCCCCCGCGGAGCGCCTGGGCGCGGGTGAGCGCAGGCCAGGTTGTCCTGGGGAGGCAGGGCCGCGCAGGCTTCCCGCCACGTCCCGGAGCCCCTGCCCCAGCTCACGTCCCAAGCACCTGCTCTCGCACCTGCTGCAAGGCAGGGCTTCGCGCGCTTTTCTCCAACTCACTACACTCTAGGAAATCCAGAGCCAAAGTTAGCATAGTCCGCTCATTGGGGGCTTTTGGCCAGCGAGTTGGGAAGTGCCCTGGAGGTAGCGCGGAAACAAGGGGAAGGAGGGAGACAGACGGCAGCTAGGCCCCTTTGGACTCAGAGAAGGGACAAGGGGAGCTCATCTGGCAAGAATGATCTGAAAAGGCCTCCAAGGGTGGGCGGGATTTTGCCTGGGGAGGGAGAAATTTCCAACTGGAGGAACAGTGACGAAGGGGGTGAAGAGAGCCTGGGCATCTTGGAAGAAATTAATGTTAATTCATTTCCTTTTCTTTTTTTGCGTGGGGTGGGGGGGATAGGGTCTCTGTCATCTAGGCTGGAGTGCAGTGGCACGATTATGCCTCACTGCAGCCTCGACCTCCTGGGCTAAAGCGATCCTCCCCCCTCAGCCTCCCATGTAACAGGGACTACAGGTGCGTGCCACCACGCCCAGCTAATTTTTGAAATTTGTTGCAAAAGTTAGGTCTCCCTGTGTTGTCCAGGCTGTTCTCCAACTCGGGCTCAAGCAACCCTCCCGTCTTGGTCCCCCAAAGTGCTGGGATTACAGGCATGGGCCCCTGGGCCTACCCCAATTTACATTTACATTGTATCTTGTGTTGGTCCAGAGAAGATTTCAGGTGCCTGGAATCAAAGTGATCTGCTGCTGTCCTTTGCTGCTTTTCCAGTATTTTCAGAGCCATCGTTTCATTCATTTTTTTCCAGCTGTTGAGTTGTTTCAGGGAAAAGGGTAAAGTCAGTCTGTTACTGCATCTTAGCTGGAAGCGCAAGTTCCCAATATGGGATGTATGGGGGAGAGGAGGTAAAGGAATCCCCCAGGAGGGTGGTGGAGGGAGAATGACCTCATGCAAAGTGACTCCAGAGACAGATCAAATGCTGTCATTGCCATCATTGCATGTTTTTAAGCCTCAGGACAGAACGGCCAGGTGAGCCTGGCCTAGATTCTCACCTGTGCCTGCCTTCCCCAGGTGTTCCCACGTTCCTGCTCTTCTCTCCATCTCCTGGTGCCTAGAATCAGAGGTCACCCGTTTTACCCCACATCCATGTTTTGCCCTGATCCCACTCCTGAGAGCTACAGGTAGCTCTTGGTGGGCTTAGAAGGGGACAGTCCAAATTGGCCCATCCCCCCATAAGCATGTCCCTGTTGGTCATCTGGAATGTGGTCCTCACTGCAAATGTTCCAGCTCTGTGAATCCTGTCCCAGTGTCTTCAGAAAGGCCCTTTATAAACCCACAGGAAATGGAAGCCGGACTGGGAGCAGAGTCTTTGGGGATCCTGCGCCTTACAGTGGTGTGGGGTCCTAGGAGCCGTTTTCTTATACAGCCCGGTTTCCCAGATAACGAAGCAATATTGTATGTGAGGCTGCACACCCAGGCAGTGAAACTAAAAAAAGGCAGGGGACAGCTAAAGGTTGGGATGAATGATACCTCGGCGGGGGGAGGAGGGAGGATGCAATGGGTGGACACAGACAGGCTTCCAAAGTGGTGTCCAGGTTGTATTTCTTCACTAGGTGGTGGGCACACAGGCGTGCATTTTTCCTTACTTTTAAATTGTAGATATTTCATACACTCCCCCATATGCATTATACATTTCAAATTAGTACATCTTTTAAAAAATCACAGTGGTTGATGCAGTCAGTATGGGTGCCAGGCGCATAGCAGGGACTCCAGGTGAGGGCATTTCTCTTCTCTTGGGCTCCTCCTCTGGGGCTGAAAGTTTATTTCTCACCCCTGCTCCTCCCCCATGCCAGCCCATGTCTCTAAGTGGTGAGGGGAAGGTGTGTGAACAGAGACAGATATGGCCCTGCAGGAGCCCAGAGGGAGGCCCATCGGTCTTGGTGAGAATGGATTGTGAGGCTGGCCAGCGCCGAAGCGGAGTATCTTGCTTACTAGAGCAAAGGGGAACTGTGCTATAGGACCATCTCTCAGAGCAAAACAGATTGAGTCTCTTGAGAAGCCTGGCATGGAGGATTGTCCGGCTTTCAGAAGCCAGAGTGTTCAGCCTGACTTCAGGGGCACAAGGTTCTTGCTGCCTGGGCCTGTTCTGTAGTATGGGGCTGTCCCTGACTGGCTGGCTTTTGGAAGCACGCAGCATTGTCACTGACTGATTGGGGCTTTCCTGCCACGACAGCCAAAGAGCAGTTTGTTTTTGTCCTTGAGTTTGGACTATAGATGATTATTCTCTCCAGGCAAAGGCAGGAAGCACACGGGAACAGGTAGCACCGGGTGGCTGCAGGCAGGCGGTCTGGCTGGAGCTCAGTGCAGAAGCACAAGGCGGTGGTGAGGAGGGAGGCAGCCCCAGGGGCTGAGACGCCACTGGAAAGAGGATTCCACCCAGAGCAGTGGAGACCACAGAGTGATCCTGAGGGGAGATTTACACAGAGATGCATTCGAGGAAAAGCAGAGACCAGTGGGAATACGGGTGCTGTCCGCCAGAGGAGAGGCGACGGTGATCGGGACGAGATAGAGACACCGAGGCAGTGAAGATGGAGAGGCCATGTGAAGGTGGAAGGGACAGAATTTGGTGACAAGAGTCCAGACTGACACCCGGTTTCCACTCGGGGAGACCAGAAGGTGGCAGGGCCAATTCCAATGCCAGCCCTCCGGGGAGAGCACGCTCAGAAGGAAGATGCGAGTCCAGGTCCCTGTGGGATGGATGTGGAGCCCTCCAGGGGCATTGAACTCCATAGATCTGGCAGTCAAGGGCAGAGGGGTCCAGGGGAGAGGAGACAGAGATCTGGGGACCACCCACAAAGGCAGAGTGGGAAGGGGATGGAGCTCTCTGGAGGGAGCCAGCGTGAGGGTGCGAGAAGGAGCTTGTAAAGGAAGCAGAGCGGCAGCCAGGACAAGGGAAGGCACCCGCGAGGAGTTGGCCTGCAGACCCCAGGGTCGAGGAGGCTTTAAGGAGGAGTGCATGGGGAGCGCTGGGCCCCTCAGAGACTGAACGAACAGAGGCTGGTGTGGATGCCTGTGGCCTCTGCCCTTGTAACAACCTCTGTCTTGGGTCAGGTTTCCTGGAAGCAGAGCTGAGATGGAATTCCTATGGAGGTGATTATGGAGGGGGTGCTCCTAGGAAAGGAGAGTGGGGGTAGAGAGCCGGTGCAGAGAGCTGAGCAGGGCTGTGACTGCTTCAGCCTGGCTGGGTGAAGGGGAGCTCAGGAGCACTGCACCTCACAGCTGTCCCTGCCTTGAGGCCAGGACCATTTTGTGCCTCGTCTCCCTCCCTGCATCAATCAGGCACTGGGTTGTAGGGGCGGGTGTGACCTCCTGGGTGAGGCAGTTTTCCCACTTGGCCTAGGGCAATGAGCCTCCACTATCCTCAGCTAGCCACTATCGCCTGGAGACAAGTGAGACCCCCCGTGCTTGGGCAAAACCAACCCCTTTCCAGCTCCCAGCACGTAGGGAGGGTCTGAGTAAGACCATCCTCAGCTGCCTCCTCTGCTGGCTTACTCCCTGACTGTCACTCCTTTCCCCACCGTCTGCCACTGTAGACTCCAGGATGAAGCTCATTATGCTGCTTCTCCCTCTGTATGGAGAGTTCGAGTCCCCCAGGCCACCCCTTGCCCCAGACAGCTCTGTATATCAGCTTCTCAGACACATTCCCCCATCCCCAGTTCCCCCAAAACCCTCCCACTCTCGAACTCATGACCAGTCATGAGCAACGTCCCGTATCCTAAACTTTTTGTAAACCAAAAATAAAATTCTGAGGCCCCCCCAACCATCTGAATGGACTTCCTCCTCTGCCAGGGCACTCTTAGAATGTAACCTGAAAGACTGGTTCAGGCCATGATGGGAAGTGGGCGTCAGATTTGCATCATTATCGCTCCAGCATTAACATCAACACAGACTTTAGTCTGATAAGAAATATTTTACAATCTATTCTCTCTGAAGCCTGCCACCTGAAGGCTTCCTCTGCAAATAAGAACTTTGGTTTCCACAATCCTTTATCTTAACCCAAACATTTTCTTTCTATTGATCCCAGGTCTTTAAATCAACTCAACCAATTGTCACCCAGAAAATTTTTACCTATAACCTGGAACCACCCCCCCACCCACCCCCCGCCATTTCGGTTCTCTTGCTCTTCTGAACCAATTTATTTCTTAAATGTATTAGATTGAAGTCTCATGTCTCTCTAAAATGGATAAAATGAAGCTGTACCCTGTGACCACCTTGGACACATGTTCTCTCTCAGCACCTCCCAAGGGCTGCGTCCTGGGCCATGACCACTCAGGTTTGGTTCAGAGTAACTCTCTTCAAATATTTTACAGAGTTTGACTCTTTTGTCGACACTTTGAGCATCCCCTTGACTTTGCTGTAACTGGAAATGGACACCCCCTCGCCCCTCAAGGACGGCATCGCTCTCCAGCACCCCTCTTCCTCCTCTCATGACTCTTGGTGATTTCCATTTCCCGGTGGGTGATCCCTCCAAAACCCTGGCCTGCTCTCCTTTGATGGTCTTGACCTCAAACCTACCCCTGCCCTCCTCTCCCATGGCCACACGCTAGACATTGTGACCCATAACCCTAAAGTCTTCTGTCTCCACAAACACAATTCCAAGTGACCAACCAGCCGCTGTGGCCTCCTTGACAGAGCAGGAGTATTGCCATCTTGGACAATTGCTGTCATTTTAAGTTCACCTTGATCAAAAACTGCCTATATCCAAAGGGCATCAGCCTAATGGCTAAGGTCAGCATGACCATAAACCGCAAATAACATCTCTGACCAGAAACATTCCAAACCCCTCCCAGCCCTGAGACAGGTGCCTCCCCTCTGGCCAGAGATATGTCAGCCCCGAGGCTGCTTTTTGTGTTTCTTTCCTCTTTCTTTAACCCTTACACTCCTGATTGTGTCCAGCTGACTTCTCTAGTGCCTCACCTAAACATTCCTTCAATGGCTGGGCTTACACTGCACTTCACTGATCCCTCCACATTTTCACTGTGTTCACCCCTCTGTCCTCCCTCCTCCCTCCCAGGTATTATGGCGGGCACCAAACATTC